TATTTTACACAGTACATAACTCCCAGATAGCAACATTGTTTCGGCCCAGATCCGGCCCACATCTGGCACTTGTGGGATGCGGATCTGGCCCACATGCAGCGTGGAATGACGGCCCTTGTGTGGCCCACTCCTGTTTGCCAGATCTGGGCCACAAGCAGGCCATAGCAATGCCACATGTCAGCCAAGAGCAAAGAAATAAACCAGAACTGGACTTTATCTGAGCCACAAAATCTGTGTATATTAAATATGGAGTCATCTCAAGCCTGTTAACAAGCAGAATCACTGAAGGAAAGAAGAGAATAGAAAAAGAGACGAGCAGAAACACAAGAACTACAACTGACTTCAGACACAGTCTTAGATGAAATCAACTGAAGAGAAAAGAAGACATTAAATCTGTGAAGATCTCAGCAGAGGAGGATTAAACAACTCCACAAACAGCATTACCAGCTTCACTTATTACTAACCAGACTGACTTTATTTCTGTCAGACTTCTACAGAAGTTTTTATTGAGAATTAACAGAGGTTTAACTCTGTTTAATTTGAAGTCACCATAACAGTGATTAGTGTTTCCATTAGTTGGGCTCTTAACTCTTAATATATCTTTTGTATTTTTTTGGCTGTTGTGACAGTGTGTTTAGTCAAACACATTTGCAGCAGCAAAGAAAGCTAAAGTGAATTGAGATCAGGTTATAATGGTTAGCTGTTGATGGTATAATCATCAGGAAATAACTTGATTCACTGATGTCTTTGGAATCTAACAATTGTGTTGATCCATTAATACACAGCATAATCCCCAGTGTGAAATTAACACTGCTCAGTGTTTATATGAGTCCACACTTAGAGAGTGTTAAATGAACACTGAAGCAGTGCTAAAGTTAATGAGATAATTAAGTGATTAATGGAAGGATAATTGAACATTATCGACGACACCTGATGTTAACAAGCGGAATCACTGAAGGAGAAAATCGTAATTGGTATGTTACCATTGTGGAGATCAGTGTTTGCTTTAGTTGGGCTGTTGACCCTTTAAGCTATTAACTCTAGATTTTGTTTGGCTGCTGTACCTGAGTTATAACAGCCAGATGAACAAAGAGAAAAGGTGATATGATGGTGTTGGTTGTGTTTTAACATTATCATTATTTCACAATCATTTGACCTGAATCACTGAACACATATAGAGCCCAATTACTGAGTTACATTTACTTTATTGATTATAGCAGCACTGTCCTTGAAAAGCATAATATTTGTAGCTTTTACAATGTAATCCAAAGAATTTCTTAAAACTTAATCTCATATAAAACCTTTTTTTCTTTTTTTTTTTACACAGACATCAAGAATCAGCCTGTGAATCTCAACAATGGTGACAATTATAAAGCATTTTGCTGTGTATTCTAGATTCCACCAATCAAATCTCTTTCATGGCTCCCATCATGCATTGCTGCATGAATAAATAATGAGCTTATGTTCAGAGGTGATCTGTTTGTCACCACTGTTGAGATTCATACGCTAATTCTTGATGTCTGTATGTGCCTACCTGAAATATTTTCTAGAAGTTTTTTTTTTTTTTTTTTTATTGATTTGATCATTTGGACTTAATTGAAAAGGCTAAAAAAATTCATACTCTACAAGGACAGTGCTGTTATAATCCATAAGGTAAATTTAACTCTGAAATTATGCTCCCAATGAGTTCAGTGATTCAGGCCAACTATTGATTATGTTAAAACACAACCAACACCATCATATCATCTTTTCTCTTTGTTCATCTGGCAGGTATAACTCAGATACAGCAGCCAAACAAAATCTAAAGTTAATGAATTAAGGGTCAACAGCCCAACTTAAGCAAACACTGATCTCCATAATGGTAACATACCAATTACGATTTTCTCCTTCAGTGATTCTGCGTTAACATCAGGTGTCTTCAATAATGCTCAATTATCACTCAATTAATCACTTAACGATCTCATTGACTTTAGCACTGCTTCAGTGTTCATTGAACACTCTCTGAGTGTGGACTCATATAAACACTGAGCAGAGTTAATTTAAAACTGGGATTATGCTGTGTATTAATAGATCAACACAATTGTTAGATTCCAAAGACATCAGTGAATCAACTTAATTCTTGATGATTATAAAACCATCAACAGGTAATCATTATAACCGGATCTCATTTCACTTTAGCTTTCTTTGCTGCTGCAAATGTGTTTGACTAGACACACTGTCACAGCAGCCAAAAAAAGACAAAAGATATTTTGAGAGGTAAGAGCCCAACTAATGGAAACACTAATCACTGTTATGGTGACTTCAAATGAAACACAGAGTTAAACCTCTGTTAATTCTCAATAAAAACTTCTGTAGAAGTCTGAAAGAAATAAAGTCAGTCTGGTTAGTAATAAGTGAAGCTGGTAATGCTGTTTGTGGAGTTGTTTAATCCTCCTCTGCTGAGATCTTCACAGATTTAATGTCTTCTTTTATCTTCAAGTGATTTCATCTAAGACTGTGTCTGAAGTCAGTTCTTGTTTTTCTGCTAGTCTCTTTTTCTGTTCTCTTCTTTCCTTCAGTGATTCTGCTTGTTAACAGGCTTATTAAGGCTGCAATTACTTAATATTTAATATACACAGATTTTGTGGCTCAGATAAGGTCCAGTTCTGGTTTATTTCTTTGCTCTTGGCTGACATGTGGCATTGCTATGGCCTACTTGTGGCCCAGATCTGGCAAACAGGAGTGGGCCACCCAAGGGCCGTCATTCCACGCTGCATGTGGGCCAGATCCGTATCCCACAAGTGCCAGATGTGGGCCGGATCTGGGCCGAAACAATGTTGCTATCTGGGCTGTAAAATGATGCATGTTTAAAAAGACATCACAATGAACATTAAAGTTTTTCCTGAGTTGTTTTAATTGATCGTAAATTAACTAAAACATTGACTAAATTAACTAAAACATTGACTAACAAAATGTTTCCGGTTTTATCTTAAAGGGGTCATGACATGGATTGTGTATGATTGAAAGAATGTTTCAGGATCACTATAATTTAAATAACATTCTATTAACATTCAGCAAACCGGACATTTTTATGTTTTTCGAATGTTAGAAATCAATGTTCCTATAATGTTAAATTGTTAATCAAAATTAAGTTGAAAGAACGTTTAAGGAACCGTACCTGCACGTTCCTAAACGTCAAGAATACTGAACATTTTTACGTTCCCAGAACAAACACTGAATATTTGGATAACGCTCTTTTAACAAAAATCTGTTCGCTGGGTACTAACGCAGACATTGTGCATTAGTTAAAGCTGCCGTCGGCAACATTTTTTTGATCATATTCAGTGAAATAATATGACAGAACAACATAAATAAAGTGGTTTTAGAAAAAAACCCGAGCTTCTAACTCCACCTGGAGCGTGTTATTTGTTTTGCAAAAATCCACAGCTCCCGGTTCATCATGTCCAATCAGCGCAGGGGGGTGTGAGATCTGACTGTCAATCACAGATCGGGCACACGCCACCCCTCGCGCACGTTACAATCACATGCACACGCCTGAAGTTCGCGCAGTAACGAAGAGTGATGGCGGAAAATCAAGTAAGCTCATTTAGAGTATAAATGACGTTAGCAATTGTAATCTATCGGTAGATTAGCCAGGATAGCATACCTCCAAATAATCCATGGTGTTGATGGATGCTGATGAGACGGGCGCGTTCACTGAAAATCTGGTGCACACGCACTGACGAGCACGAACTCGGTCACGGTGGGAGGGTATCCGTTGATAGTGGGGGAGGGGCATGAGAGTTGTACACATTCAACATTTTCCTAAATCCCTATATGGGGAGGCTGCAGACCTGGAGCCGGCAGATACGCCCCTGGCAGTTTTAGGACCCTGTTGTTCCTGATGCGTCCAGTAGAGGAATACTGCGAAATAATATAATTAAATCGACGCTTAATAACCCGTCCATAGACTTGACAATTTTGTGTTTTTTGTTAATTTAAATATAAACGTTATAGCCTAGTGTAGATCTGCACGGATTAAATTATCTGTTTAACAAAAAAACAAGGGGGGTAAACAGACATCAAAAGAGATTGAATTAGGGTACACAAATCAATGCAATATTACATTTTGTCAATATAAAAACATGTAAGGTTCTTTACAACAGACTCAATGATATTAAGTCTGTTGACTCAATGAGCTGCAGGGAACGATTTCTACAGGAGAGGAAAAAAGGAGTTGCAAAGTGAAAGTGAAAGTGATTCATGGTGGGAATTCCGGGAACAGGATCAAACGCTGACTTCCGGCTTTTCATTCAGGCTTTTTGAATTCAGTCAAATTTAGTAATGTTTGTCCTGTGATTGATGTGCACATTATAAACACTAATTGATGTGCATTGTTTTACCTTACATTCTACCTGCCTTTAAGTTGTCTGTTATGAAAATGCATCAACATGCTACTTCATTTGCGTGTATATTATATTATTATATTTAGTGTGATCTTTTCGCCACACTGCTCGACCACACACAGTGACTGTATGTAGGCCTATGTTGTTATGTCATCACGTGATCGCAGGCACACACACACATCGAGATAACATTCAATTAGTGACTAGCCTACTTGAAGTGTAGCTGAGTGTAGCGAAAGGATAATCATATTATTCTGTCAGTATTAACAGACAAAAAGGGAAACCGGCTCTTAGACGGATGGGAAGTTCGGATCATTTTACTGACTCGATCTCGTTCATCAAAATGAACGAATCTTTTTTACGAGTCATTTCGTTTATTTAAGGGGCTTTAAATGTTAGGCTTTTAACAGGCTGATTCCCCGAACACATCCACCCACGCAATCTTGATCATATTCTGAATTAAGAAATCATTATAATGCAGTCAAAAATAATTTACAGGGATCATAAATAATTACTTTACCTTCCGAGTCTTTCGTTCATTTGTCACGTGACAGACGCAATGAACGGATTGTTTATGAACGACTCCTCACTCACTGTCTTAAAGAAACGAAACGACACAGAAATGAGATAACGGAAACCACGGAACAAGGAAGCGCGGACTGCAACTAATCCATCAGCTTTGTAAGTACAATATTGATTTAATTTAACAAGTCTTTCGGTACAGCCTAGGTTAGTTAGCTAAGTACTATTTTGGGTCCAGTTAGTGTGAGTATTTTCTAACAGGTTTCAAACATGCAAGTCGAAAAACACATCCGTTTTAACCACTGTATGTTTGAAACCAACACAGAAACCTCTTTCTTTATACTGACAAACATTTGATCTACAAATGAGGCGTGTGTGGTCAGACTATTGAAGAATGATGCGAAAGCTCATATAGTTATATGGTTAGGTCATAGTACAGTTGCCATATCTTTCCACATATTATGTTATTTTATTACAGTCAACAATTTTGAATCTCTATTTATTTTGTAAGTTAGCATGTAAAAATACACTTAGTTCAAAAATATTAAATTCAAAAAGGAAATTAGGAAATATTCAGCAATTCACACTGATGCATATTGAAAAGACAAACATATACAATGTCTGAACCTGATGCTCTGTCTAGTGGAGAACTTTAGCATTACAGATCTGTCATTCACAGTTGCAAAGGAGGTTATGCTGTTTTAACTCTAATAGAAAATGATTGTCATGATATACGCCATATCTTTTATGCTTATTGTGTGAATGTGTATCAAATGAAATAACACAAATTCCCCTACTTAGACACACACAAAAACAGTTTAAACAATATTTGTTGTATCTTTTGGCGGGACGTTGAGGCTGATCGTGCTCCACATTAATCAATATACCATTGTATGTTGTTGTATTTTTCCCTGAAGTGACACAAAATGGCTTCAACCAAAATAGTGATTCTTGAGGCACTTCAAGGGCTACTGGAAGGCGATTTCAAAGATTTCAAATGGCGCCTGTCGAACAGTGACGCGCCTATTCCTCAAGGAAAACTTGAGAGCAAGGATCGCCACGATGTGGTGGATCTCATGATGCAGCGCTACGACACAGATGCCGGGAAGATTGCAGTCCGAACGCTATGCGCCATAAAGCAAAATGAGCTTGCTAAACGACTGCAGGGAAACCTTCAGAAAGGTTGGTTATAAGTTGACACTATATGCATTGGTAGTATTTGATCTAAGCTCTTATGCATTCTGACAATATCTCCGTGTCTGTCCATCAGTTCCAGAGGATGTTCCTGCTGGAGCGGGAGCTTCGTCCAGTGAGACACCGGTACCGGCTCAGCCTGCAGGAGCTACAGTGAACATATCATCCAACAATGGAGGAACCGTAAAGGCCCCTGTTGTTCATGGTTGTAATTTTACAGGCCCAGTAACCTTCAACTAATGCTCAAGTATCTATCTATCTATCTATCTATCTATCTATCTATCTATCTATCTATCTATCTATCTATCTATCTATCTATCTATCTATCTATCTATCTATCTATCTATCTATCTATCTATCTATCCCAGGGATTTTAAAGGGGTCATGAATTGAGAAATCAAGTTTTCCTCGATCTTTTAATAAGCACATGAACATGTAGTGAGTGAGACACAAACACAGGATGACTCCAGCAACAGAACCAGAGACGCCTCTGAGAAGAACAAGACGTTTTGAAGTGCCACAGTCTTTGCATTGCCTCACTTGTGATCCTAACATGAAGAAAGAGTGGATTAACTTTATTTTTATGATCATGTCAGTAAGAGTGTATGTGTTCACTTTAGACGTTACATTTTACATGAAGATTTGTTATTCAACTGATTGGTACTGAAGACCTAAACCGCAACGTAAAAAAACAAAACAAAAAATAATTATACATTTTTTTTCTAAAATTATGAGAATAAAGTTGACATATTTCAGATTAAAGTCTGTGAATAAAGTGCTACGACTTTATTCTCGTAATTTTGGAAAACAATTTTTACGGTTTTTTTTTTGTTTTGTTTATTTTTACGTTGCGGTTCAGGGCTTCCGTAGAGTCGTTATTGATGTCGCAGTGAAGTAACTGTTTATTTTACCATGTCTCACTATTGCTTTGTCTGTTTTTAGATCGATTGATATTGTACTCACTTTACTGAAAATGATGAAGGATGAATATAAGGATGAAAACATTGTTTGTCACATACACTGCAACAAACAATGGAACATTCATTCATTCATAATTTGTTTACACGAAATACCATTATCCTCAACTATGACTGTGGAAACTCCAAGTACTTAAACTGTATTTGCCACAACCAAGTGTAAAGCACAAGTAATGCGTATAAATGTTTCACATTGCTAGTAAATGTTTATAACTATGCATTCACCTTTCTGTAGCATCTTGAATTCAACATATAATTTAATGAAACACAATATCTCACAAATACATACGGAATAAATATAAATAAAGATTATTAATTACCATACTGTTGAAGACTGGAGTATCTTTGGTATTTGAGGTGTGTAGGTTTGTTTTCTCTGATTAAAATATGTATTGCAGGGCATCAGAATTTTTCAAAACTATTCCACATGTGTAATGGATGTCGACAATTATTTTATATGCAAACCCTAAACACTTAGCAGTGGCTGCTTACTTCCAAGTCTTAAATGTGGCGAGACCATCAAAGGTGTTTGAAAGAGAGGATCAAAAGCAGGATAGAAAATAGCTTATTGCTTCTAAATAAGATGTTTTTGGTGTAAAAATCTTGATAACATTGTATGTGGACATCAGAGAATATTATACATTTATTTATATTATTCTGAACAGTAAACTCTCAGTTGTCAGCTTTCTAAAGCTGTGGTTATGTGTGGAATATGAATAACTATTGGCCAGCAACATTTTTTTTTTCCAGGAATGTTATGCACTTCCTTGACCAAATTGGCGGCACCTAATAGGATTATAAAGAAAAATGCTAATGTTTGTATCCCATATTCATTAAAAACAGTTATAAGCACAGACCTGCAATTTGCACCTTCTTGAATTCATCATAATTTAACCAGACAATGATCATTTGAATATCTACAGTAAGAAACACATAAGGCAACAAAGCAGTCATTGCAGGAGTTTTATTGAAAATGTATGAATCGATTCATTTCAATATATTAAATTAAAAGAAGTGACCCAATACAAATAAGAAAAAACTAAAAACAGCCATGTTTTTGAAAGTGATATTCCTTCATGATTTACTAAGTTACACACAGGGCCTACAACTGCCAATGGCCAGTGACAAAATTTACTTTTTACCAGCCATGAAACATAGGTTAATCCTTATTAAAGTTACAAAAGTTATTCAGTCAAGACCAACGAGTGATTGTTCATTATCTTTTGTTGTTTGATTAACATTAACAGGAATATTAGGCTGCTGTCACTTTAAGACTGAATGTACTGATCCAATAAACTGTTACACACGTGTTTTCTTTCTCAACTGTTTACGTTCAATTTAGGCCCTGTCCCAAATGGCACACTTCATATGTACTTTCGGTCATGTGGACTTACAATGGCTGCTGTGTGCGCGTGTCCGCTAAGTCCATGAGACCGGAGGGTGACCCATTTGTCATATTAGGTTTCAGAAGTATTCTCGCGGTCGATATGCACTTTAGGCGAGCCGGCACTAAAGCGAGCTCCACAGCACACTTCTATCCGACAGTCAAAGTGGCATTACGTCATGAAAGTGTGGACTCAGAGGAAGACTGCGAGTGTTTAGGGTGATATTTGGGACAGGGCCTGACTATGTTTACAAGGATACTTGCCAATACAAGCATTTTGACAATTTTCTTTGAATATGTCTGTTCAAGCGCAAGAAGACGTGAAACAGAGCTTGATTCAGTTTTTGTGCGCTATCTGAGATGTGAATTTCTACACGCGTGCTTCGAAATAACGAATTTAGTTCCCTTCCGTGTCTTCTTGCGCTTGAATATTTATATTGGCAAGGCTTAAACTTTCGTGATGTTGTGACCCGCCAACCAGTCAATTCACGTTTGTTCACGTTTATGTTCTCACAACATTCACTGTTAATTAACACCGTTTCACATACTCACAAACACTGATGTTTATTTGCTTTTGACACTTGGCAAATGTTAATATTAGGCCCTGGTTACACATTTAATAGAGGAAAGCAAAGCAATATAACCATTACTTGTTTCTGAGAAACGAAGTTTGTTTCTTCAAAGGTCTAAAACACACGTTTGATCTTCATTCTGATGGATTTCATACTGACACCGTAATTCTTCCAGGTATACCAAACAACTCCAATAGCGTTATGGGGGGAATCTTCTTGCCATAAATACACACCGTTGGGGTTTGTATGGTGACAGCCTGAGTACCAAAATGCCCCGAGATGATATTTGGCACAATTATATCCATAGCCGTCTTGGTCCTTGTCAAAGGTGGTGAACTTCTGATCATTATGGGTAGATAAAGAGTCGCCTGCAGAGAAGAAGAGCATCACTGATGACAATAACTCAATGGAAATGTGTTTTCATGAGTGTAAATGAAAGTGTCCTACCTGCTCCTCCATCAGTGAACCCTGAAACATGCAGTTTATACCCGTCCATTTCACAATCCACAGAGAAGGACGAGTACAGAGCAAACACTTTATTTCCTTCAAAGTCCTCCAGATCAACTCTCAGCATGTACTTCTTCTTACGTGTCAGCTGATACATGTTCTCCAGCCCTGTTCACACAAACACGTTCAACCAAACACATGGTCATCCACACAAACGGACACGCGGTGTGAGATCTTACCCAGCCAGTATTCGCCCTCCACATTCCCGAATCCTCTCTTGTACTGATTCCACGGCCGATAGAAATTCACACTGCCGTCCATTCTCCTCTGAATCACCTGTGATGGGTTTATATAGAATATATGATTCATAAAGTATGCTCTGATGTGTGTTTAATGGTCTAAAGTCACATTCGTACCGTCCATCCTCCTTTGTCTTCATCTTTCCCATCTGAGATCATGTGACAGTAAACCCAGAAAGGAATATCCCACGCCGGATAGATGGTGTAGATCCCACTGTGTGTTTCTCCTGCTTTAGAAAGGTCAGAACAGTCGGCTGGCATTTCTTCATCGTGGCTGCACCCGCTCATCAGAACAACTGGAAGAAAAGCCACCAAAAATACCAACATCTACACGGGACAGAGAGAAAGAGATGAACATCACACTGACATTAAGGTGAAAACATAGTGTAGTTATTGAAAATATAGATTTAGAGAATATAGAGTTTTTGATGAACTTACTGCCATCGTCTCAATCTCTCCTCAGAAGATCACAGAATCGATTTCTCTAAGAAAGTAATATAAACATTTCAAACGGTATAAATGACTGAATGTTCTCTGAGGTAAATAAGGAATAAAATAGCAACTCACTGTATGTATTGTGCCTTGTTTGTGGATGAAAGACTGAAACACACATTTATATATCTGTCAAATTCTCAGGCTCCTCCTTTGTGTTTCAGTACATAATGAAAAGATTATTTTTTTTCTTCTTTTTTTTCTATTCAGTAAACCAGGCTGAGTCTAGTTTATAGCTACAGTTTGGAGTTTTGGTTACTTCCATAGAGATTATTTCAGATGTTAAAGTAATTGATAGCAATAATTATCACAATATAATTTTCCTTGATATAAAGATTACCAGAGTTTGATAAATGTTCAATATAGGTATCAGGTTTGTCTCCAAATTTTGATAATGACCCTGCCCTTTATGAACTTAATCTCCATCTTTATAAAGTTCTATTTCAAGCTGTTGAAAATAACTGATTTTGTCAGAACAGACAATAGGTCATTGTGAGGATGCAAGTCTACATTTTCGCACGCAGAGCTGGAAGTCATGTAACCTGTAATTTAAGAACCCAGACTTGCAAAAGAACAGCAATAACTAATGACAATTACACAAAAAATAAGGGGGATATCACGTTCCAATCTAAAGCCCCTTTCACACAGATATTCCGGAAAATACACTGATAATGTGTTCCGGGAGTTTGATTTTGGTTCATTCACTCTGACAGTGATTTTCTGGAATCTGCACGGGCGTTCACACACATCCCGTAAAGACACGAGACGTTAGGATGTGACATGAAATGTCTCGCAGCCTCTTAAGTTTGCTGATTCGATCATAAACAAATTTAGCATTTTAATCAACAGTACATTTATTGTTAACCTTTTACCACATGTCTTGGAGTTTCGCAATAATATTGTATCATGAGTTTAGTAGAGTGATATACAGTATATATCTAATCATGACATGAGGGTTTCGTTACATCCCTAGTAATCAATCATTTCTGAAAATGTGATTTGGTTGTTTACCTTTGCATTTACCAGCAAAAATCTTACCATATTTGATTTGATGTTCTACTCAGTCGCACAGCACAAAACAAGATGGCAATAAATGTGCACAAATGATAAGATAAAGAGGCGTTCATGTTACAACATCTGACAGAAGGAAACAGTCGCTTTCCAGCTTGAATGCTGCATATAGAGTATCCTTGTTTTAGTGAACTCAAATGAAATAAGTTCAGAGTACTCTTTAGTATTGTTTTTGTATTTAATTTTATGTGGATTGAGGTTATCGGTTTCCTCAAAAGAGATGAGTTAGCTTAACATGTTTGGTTTTACAGTGAGGTGATATAGCCTCTCAATAGCACAGCACACCCAATAACCATTATCATTTCTCGTATAGTATATTTTATGAAAGTCATGTTTTCTACATAGAGCTGCAGTACCCAAGTACATGTGAGGGTGAACACCAACTTTAGTGTGTTATTAGAAAGTGACAGTGACAAAATGATTAAATAAAAAACTAAAAAAATTCACGTCAGGAGAGTTTTTCAGGCACTTAATAAATTCAAATATATTTTAATGCGCAAAGTATTGTGATCCATTTCATCTTATTTTATAAACTGTTTTAATATGATACATTTTTCATTAGTATGACACTTTCTTGATTGCTTGAATTAATTTTAAAGGCTGAAAAAACAAGGATCAGGTGTATCACCAAATTTATGTAATGGCCCCGCCCTTTATGAACTTTATCTCTATCTTTTTGAATTGTGGTTAAAAGGAAAACTGCTGAAGAAAAGAACTGATTTGTCAGAATAGGGCATTGAGAGGATGCAAGCTGGAAGTCACATGACCTGTAATTTGAGAACCCAAACTTCCAAACAACAGCGATAGCTAATAACAATTACACAAAATATTATATTCCAATTCAATGCTCCTCAGGATATAACATATGGATTCAGATCTTCAAACCTCAACAAAATATTGCAACTAGATTGCAGATATATCATATTTCTCCTGCATGCATTCAAGGTACATTTATATTAATGTTATATCCAAACAATACTAAAACTTCTAATTACAAACTGAATCCTACAGTGTTCCAAAAAAAAAAGTTTAAAAAGAGATTATAGAATTTAGAACATTGTTGAATTGAATTTACAACATAAAACAAGTTGAGATGACTCAATTTAGGAAAAATTTGCAGAAATTTCTTGTTCAGTGCACAAAATAATAAACTGACTCCTAAAAAAAAAACTTTGTTCAAGCTACTTTCTACATTATTATGAAGAACATTTTGCAAGTTGGATTAAAATGAGAGCACAGAAAGTGGAATTTGGCAATATCTCAATCACAATTATCCAACAGCGTGGTTTTTGCTGGAGAGTTATCACACGATGTGTGTCAATCAAATGAGTCATCGCTCAGATTTCGATAGAACGTCCAATATGTTATATTAAATGTCATCAATAACACAAATTTAACCAATTTTAATTTGTCCAGCAAACAAGTTAAGTTTAGCTGCAGATTTCCTGCAAATTATTAGTTGGATTAGTTAATGATTTTCAGATCTCAATAAATAAACCAGCAAAGGCAGTAAAGGAGGTTAAGAAAAGTGAACAAATGAGTCTTAAATGAGACTTCAAGCTCAGAGAATATTTTAATAATAAAAATAATGCATTAAAAAAACAGTCAGCTTTTACATGTCTAAAAAGGCAAATCCAAAAAGCAGTAATAATTTCTGAAAATGTTCAGTTGTTAAACAATTACAGTAAAACGTGAAACTTTTGCATTTACCTGCATACAATCTTATCAAATTCGATTTGATGTTCTACTCAGTCGCACAGCACAAAACAAGATGGCAATACATGTGCACAAATGATAAGTTAAAGAGGCTTTCAGGTTACAACATCTGACAGAAGGAAACAGAGTCGCTTTCCACCTTAAATGCTGCATATAGAGTATCTTTAAAAGACGCGAGGAAGGTGTACAAGTGTGTGGGTGTGTCAGAGACACTGTAAAAGGACAAAACTCCAGCCGTTGTGTCCACATACACACCTACTCTCTTACATGAGTGAGAGGTTGGAGTCTTTATATTAATGTCTTCTGTAGCATGAGAAACATATGGATGGGATCCACATGTAATTTTCCATGACAAATCATTGTTTCCAAGCTGACCGCTGGCCTCCACAAAACTAAGATCATCGCTTTTCCTTTGAATGGACTTGTACGTCACTCCGACCGTCCCTTCTGAACCCGTCCATTCAGCCTCCCAGTAACAGCGGCCGGACAGACTCTCTCTAGACAGAACTTGTTCAACAGGTTCAAATCTTTCTGGGTGATCAGGATACGGCTGCACCTGTTCTACTAACGTCGCTCTTCTGTCTTCATCAGACAGACACAACCGAATGTGAGCTGTGTTTGGATCCAGCTTGAGATCACAGGCATCTGTGAAACAAAAAACACTTCAATTAGTGTCTCAGAGAGAAACACAGACAGATGGAGAATGAGATACACTTACACTTTCTTATCCCTGGTTTGATGAAGTGTTCACCCATAGGATCAGTTCTGCAGAAGTCAATGAAGAAGAAGAGGAAAGTAAGAAAAGCTTATAAGACAGAAAGCAAATACTAACAAAAGGTCATGGTTTAGATTTACAAGCTATGAATGAACTGAATGAATGAACCATTAATTAAATGTCGATCTGGAAAAAGTTAGCTGCCAAATACATAAATGTGTAATCACTTCCTGCATGTCACTTAAACAAAATTGAACTTAAATTGTTAGACGAATGTTTTGTTCTGATTCCAAAACAGCTATAGAGCTAGGTTTAAAACTCATTTAAAAAAGGAAGCAGTTTAATGAGCCATTCTTCTTTAACCCCAAAAATACTGACAAATTTAAATTCAAATATTCAGACATCATAGTAAGTTATTCTGTAAGTCATTGTCTGAATATACAATATTAAATTTGGGCTCAGTCAGTATTTAAAAAAAAAAAATATATATATATATATATATACACTGAAACCTGGAGTAATGATGCTGGAAATTTAGCTTTGATCACAGGAATAAATTCCATTTTACAATATATTCACATAGAAAACAGCTATGCTAAATTGTAATACTATTTCACTGTTTTGTAATGTATTTCTGATCAAATAAATGCAGCCTTGGTGGGCAGAAGAGACATCTTGAATTACGTAGGGAACCATCTTGAATTACTTAGGGAAAAAATTAATGCCACATCATTAAACCATGACATACTTCAATATCTGCAGTTTATCGTTTGAATCCTTCAGTATGTTGTTGAGAATCTGGACTCCAGATTCTCCGGGGTGATTGTAGCTCAGATCCAGCTCTCTCAGGTGTGATGTGTTTGAACTCAGAGCTGAAGACACAAAACCACAGCCTTCCTCTGTCACCATACAGCCAGACAACCTATAGATATACAAAACAAATAAGCAAACCTGCTTTTCTCAAAAAATAAATTAAAGCAAAAATCCCAGTTTTACCTCAGTATCTCCAGATGACAGGTCTTCAGTCCATCAGAGAGCAGCTTCACTCCTGAATCATGCAGGTCATTGTTACTCAGGTCCAGCTCTCTCAGGGGCGTATCTGAGCTGAGAATCGAGGAAAGACACTCACAACTCTTCTCAGTGAGGTTACACCAGCTCAACCTGCAGGAAAACATTTCAAAATGGTCTTCTCATCTGCCTGATACAGTGCGCTTATTATACTGTATTACAAAAAATTATGGATAGTGTCAAAAGGATTGCTTCAAACTTCTGTAATGCTAAATAACACAAATACTTTCCTCAGAACTTGAAGTTTTCTGTCTGTATTTTCCATCCCATCTAGGAGATGATGGAGTCCAGAGTCCTGCAGGTCACTGCCGCTGAGATCGAGCTCTTGTAGACGATGTGAGATCGTCTGGATCGCAGAGACCAGCTCCATACAACTGTCCTGGCCAAAATGACACTGGGCCAACCTGAATGAGTACAATATGAGAATTACATTTCAGGCTAGCCAGTAAATGTTTGAACAGCAATGGAAACGGTAATGACCTCAGTGTCTCCACATGACAGTGTGGGCTCTTGAGTCCAGCAGAAAGCACCTTCACTCCTGCCTCGATACTGTAATTGTGACTCAGGTCCAGCTCTCTCAGAGGACCATCTTCTAGTTGGAGAGCCAAAGCCACCGTTTCACAGCATGTTTCTGTCAGTCCACAGTCTGAAAACCTGTAAACATGGCAAGGTGTTTACTAGTCATGAAGAGTTTACCTTTACATTCAATAAATAAAGATCACAATAAAGTTCACCTTAAAATCTAATACGCTGCACAAATAAATGAGAAATATAGAAAAGGGGAGGGGTCTTTGATATAAAGCTAATAAGGTCTTATGAATTCTATTGATTTTTTTTTATTGTTCCTGTTGATCAAAATTTAAACCATTAAAACAGAATCATGAAAGGAAATCTGAGGAAAACAAAAAAGAATATGTTGAACAAAATTAAACTGATTTAAGGAAAAAAATTAAAACAAATTTAGGGAAATATAAAAACAACCGAATTCGGGAGAAAAAAAATACAGCTAAACACTAAGAAATATAAAACAATATAGGGCTATGCGATTAATCTTAATTTTCGATTTTGGCTTCCAACGATTATGAAAACAAGATAATCGAGGTAAAATGAATATTGTGCCGCTGCCACATTCCGCGCTTTCATTTGCCCTCCAAAAACAAAATGAACATCCAAATCAGCCAAATAAGTTAGTATTGTAAAAAGCAGTCTACTTTGCTAAACTGTGGGATGTTAAGAAACAGTTTAGAAAGAAAACATGTTTAACAGTACATTGGATCCGTGCATTAGCCAACAGCCTAATAAACCTGCTGCAATCACTCACTGACCTTGACTGAATAATTTAAGTAGTTTAAATACATATTACTCTGTATTTAATGTGTACAGTAAGACTATGCAAACTTATATGCGTTATATATGCCTTATATGCGTATAATAAGTGTTATTTTACATTTGATTATTTATTTTTTTGTTGTTGGCTATTACTTATCTGAATACCACTGTTAGTAGCAGCAGCCCTAAAACAAAATGTTAAAAAATAAAACAGAGAGTAATACAACACCCTTCATTTGACTCTACTTACAGGGCTTTTCTGCAGCATCTCACGGCTGGCACGAGTCTCCTGCATCCGGGATATGTGTTGTTGAATGTCTTCGGGTCAAAGACATCCAGCACCTCTTCTGACATCAGAAGCACATAGACCAGCGCTGAGCAGTTCGAGTTGGACATCACTCTCAGCTGGCCGCTCTCTGACCTCAGATATTTCATGATTTGTTGGTACAGGGTTCTGTCCTGCAGTTCCAGTATGCAGAAGAAGTGGTTGATGGATTTATCTGGGCATTTGTCATTGTTTTGCAATTGCTTGATGTATTGGATGGTTTTATTGACGCATTTTCTACTGTCAAGCGGTTGGTCCAGCAAGCCAATCAGGAGTTTCTGATTGGACTCGAGAGAAATGCCCAGCAGAAAACGCAGAAAGAGATCAAAATGCCCTCGCTCGCTGTTCTTGGCTTTATCAATCGCCTTTTTCAGCAAAATGTATAGCATTTGGTCTTTCTTAGGGCATGAATCCTCCAGGAAGAACTTCAGCTCCTCCATGTTCATCTTCAAATAGCAGAGGAACACGTGCAAAGCGGCGAGAAACTCCTGCACACTCAAATGTATGAAGTAATAAACCTTGATCTCATGCAGGACAGAGTCTTTCTTGAAGATTTCAGCGCACAATCCTGTGGACTCATCACTTGCGTTGATGTCACACGCTTCCAGATCCTCCTCATAAAACATGACGTTCTCCTTCTTCAGCTGTTTAAACGCCAATTTAGCCAACTTGGAGATAATGTCTTTGTTTAAACTAAAGACTTTTGTGCGGTCTCTTTCGAGTTTCTCCTCGTACTTCTGGTTCTTTATGTTCATCTGTATCAGCAGGAAGTGGATGTACATTTCGGTGAGTGTCGAGGGAATGTCCTGCCCATTGTTCTTGATGAGAATATCCTGAAGAACGGTGGCCGTGATCCAGCAGAACACGGGAATGTGGCACATGATGTAGAGACTACGAGACGTCCTAATGTGCAAAATTATTCTGGAGGCCTGCGCTTCATCTTTGATCCTTTTTCTGAAGTACTCCTCTTTCTGCTGGTCGGTGAATCCGCGCACCTCTGTAAATAATCCTATGTACTCCGGAGGGATCTGATTGGCCGCCGCAGGTCGTGATGTCACCCAGACAAGAGCCGATGGAAGCAACTTTCCTTTAACAAGGCTTGTAAACAAAGCATCAGCAGACGATCGTTCATTCACACAGTTCACTGACTTACAGTTAAAGTTCAAATCCAGGCGACTCTCGTCAAGTCCGTCAAAGATGAATGCCATGTTGCATTTTTTATAAAACTTAGTGTTTTCCACGTCTTTCAATTCAGGATAAAATTCCAGCAAAAACTCATGGAAACTGACCTTATCGTCTTTAATCAAGTTGATCTCTCTGAATGGAAGCAGGAACATACAGTCCACATCCCGATTGGCTTTTTCTTCGGCCCAGTCCAGGATGAACTTGTGCACGGAGAACGTCTTTCCAATGCCAGCGATGCCTTTGGTCAACACAATGTTTCCCTCCTCCTTTTTCCTCAATAAACAGAATATGTCATTGCAGTCGATCGGTGTTTCCTCAAATTTGGGAGTTTTTAAGAATCGGTCAATCTTGTGAACTTCATGTTCATCATAGACGTCTGTAATGTCCCCTTCAGTGATGAAGAGTTCAGTGTAGACTTTGTTGAGATGTGTTTTGTTGTCTTTTTTGCCCTCAAAAACACGTCCTGTTTTGGCCTTCATGTTGTCTTTGAGAGTTTTCAGGATTTTTTGCAAGACATCATTCTCTAGATCAAATCAAAAACACAAGAATTGTTGTTAATCAACATGAGTTCTGCCTAAAATCATTAATATGTTGGGAATCGTAACTTGTAAAGGTTCAGCAATCCATCTACTGTAAATGCAAGTCAAATTTATAACCAGAATAAAAATGTGGCTATTGTTTTTGTACCTTGTTTTTCAGAGGTTGGTCCCTCTGCTGGATTTTGTTGTCCTTTGAGGATGACAGCAAGGACCAGAAACAACGCCAGAAAAAAAAAAGCACATCCATTATACACAAATCATTTAGCTATTAAAGTGGTAACAAAGCATTAGGGGTGTAACAATATATCGTGTCACAATATATCGCAATACACAAACGCAACAATATGTATAGTGGATAGTGACAATATGTATTGTGTATAGTTCACCCAAAATAAAAATGACAGTTTACTGAGTTTTAGTATCAGTAACATTAAACTACTATATATAATGCTGAATATAATGTATAATAATGCAATGGGGGAATATTTGTGGGTCCTGATAATGCCAAATCTTGCCAGTGACAGTGCAAGTATATTTGTCTAAAATAATTCTGTATTTTCAGCATCAGAATTAATATTTTTATTCTGTCTCTATTGTCCGTGCATTGGGTTTCCAGCACCAAGTCCAAGCCTGTTCATTTACACCCACAATGTAAACCAAATTTAGCATTTTAATCAGCAGTACATTTTTGTTAACCTTTTATCATATGTCTTGGAGAATCGCAATAATATTGAATCGTGAGTTCACTATCGTGATATATTGAATCGTGACATGAGGGTATCGTTACACCCCTACAAAGCATATTTATTCAAAGCTTTCAAACTATTTGCAATTTCATAGTGACACACGAAACTGCATTAGTGCTATAATCTTACCAATAACACCAGTAGTTGAGTTTGAGTTGATGATTATTGAGCCATGGACGACACTTCCAATGAGTACTGGTGAAATTGCAGTTGCACCTGATTCAGCTTTCAGATCCACATTGACAGCAGTGTGAGGAGGGCTGATCGTCTGCACTGGGATAGAAACTGACAGATTTACACACTTTCTTACATTATAGCTTTAACTGAGATTAATGACATTTACTTCATTACCATTCCTCTGTTCAGCTTGGTTATTCTGGAGGTCTATCTTCAAAGCTTCATCTGATTTACGACACTTCTTCAGCTCATCTACAGCTTCAAGTGTGTCTTCCCGCTTCATTTCATCAGCCGTATCTGCTCTTTTTAGCCTCTTTTCTTTGTCATTGTCCAGCTCAACCACTGTTTCCAGAAGCTGCTCTGGAACGGACGCCATCTTGTCTACTCAGGTCTTGTATAAGATCAGACGAGACATGTTTCAAGTTTCAAGTTTATTATATTTATAAAGCACATTTAAAACAACCTTGGTTGACCAAAGTGCTGTACAAAATATAGCTATCTAAATCCATACAGACAATAAAAACAACTTTCACAAAACATTGAACGCACAAGAATACAAGTAGGTTTTTAAAAGATTTCTGAACTCAGACACTGTGGGCGCTGTTTTAATATGTAATGGCAATTTGTTCCATAACCTGGGGCCAGCTACCGCAAAGGCTCTGTCACCCCTACATTTCAGCCTGGTTCTGGGTACTCGTAACTGGTGGTTAGACTGTGATCTGAGCAGTCTGATTGGATTATTTTCCACCACTAGCTCCGTAAGGTATTGAGGAGCAAGATTACTTAGTGCTTTATACACGAACAGCAAGACTTTAAAATCAATACGATACTGGACTGGTAACCAGTGCAGTAAACGTAGTGTGGGCGTGATGTGATCCCGTTTGCGAGTGCCTGTGAGCAAGCGGGCAGCTGCGTTTTGAACCAGTTGAAGTCGGTGAATAGAAGACGCAGGTAGTCCTAGATATAGCGAGTTACAGTAGTCAAGTCGAGATGAAATAAAGGCATGAATTATAATCTCAAAACTGTTCCTACTTAGGAAAGGTTTAACTTTCGCTAATCTCCGGAGGTGATAAAAACTGCAACGGACAACTGTATTTATTTGTTTGTTTAAGTTTAGGCCACTATCCAATATAAAACCCAGGTTCTTTGCCGAAAGTGAGCGATATAAAGTGAGCGAACCCAAGTCAACATTGCTCAGGTCACTTTTCTCAGTTGGCCCAAACAGGACTATTTGAGTTTTATCATCGTTCAGGTGGAGAAAGTTCTTATTGAGCCATATTTTCAATTCTTGAAGGCAATCCGTCAGTTGATTTAACACAGACTTGTCACGTTTAAATGGTATGTATAACTGTGTGTCATCGGCATAGCAATGATAAGATACTCCAAATCTTCTAAATATGGAACCTATAGGTAGCATGTATAGAGAGAACAGCAACGGTGCTAACGTTGAGCCCTGAGGGACACCACATATAACCTGTGCTACGGTGGAAGAGTGATTCCCTATATTTACGGAGAATTTTCTGTTGGACAAGAAAGACCGGAACCAGTCAAGTACCGTGCCTCTTAAACCAATGCATTGCTCCAGACGAGACAGAAGAACACCATGATCAACAAAGTCAAACGCAGAACTAAGATCTAGCATTATTAAAGCTACGATGTTACCAGCGTCAGTGGACATTAAAATATCATTAAAAACTTTCAGAAGAGCAGTCTCTGTACTATGTAAAGTTTTAAAACCAGACTGAAAAATATCTGATATACCATTTCTATTCAAATAATCTTGAAGCTGCATACATACAATTTTTTCTAGAATTTTTTATATGAACGGCAAGTTGGAAATTGGTCGAAAGTTTGAATAGATTGAAGGATCAGGCGAGGGCTTTTTTGGGATCGGTGACACTGAGGCTAATTTTAGAATATCTGGAACTGTCCCTGTCAAGAGACAGTTGTTTATTATTATTACAAGATCAGGTCCAATTGTGTCAAAGATTTGTTTTAGAAACCGTGAAGGCAGAGCATCCTGAGGTGAAAAGGTAGATTTTAATTTAAGAGTGACTTCTTTACATGTCTGTAAGGAGATCAAATCAAAATCACTCCACTGTGTAGTGAATAATATGCAGTCTGGAATAGAATCTGAGTTTATAGATGGTTGAGCCCGTGCCTTTTTCACTTTATCTGAGAAATAATTAAGAAAGTTTTGATAATAAACATAATAGATAGATAATAGACATATATGACCAGAGACTTGCTTGATAGTTTGCTCCAAATTTACAAGTAAATGTTAAAATCACTGGCATCTTAAAATTATTATTATTAATAATAATAATCATTTGATAAACTCATGGAGTACACACTTTTAATAGGCTACTACCAAACAAAGCCCTTAACTTCACTGTTGAAAAGCTGCGATTTATAAGAATATAAGAACAGATTTGCTACTGTACAGACATTCTCGTGCTTATGTAAATTCCAAAGTCTCATCTAAAGGCCCATTCACCACAAGAACGATTTCTATAATAACAATACATTTATTTGCGTCCCAATAATGTTTTGTTTATTATCAATGCGCGTTTATGGTCTGTGATCATATCTGCAGCTAGCAAGTGTTTTTTTTCTCCCTTTACTCAGCTGGAAAACAGGTCGTTCTGAAGTGATTCCAACGATGTCATTCTTCTTATCGCTGTGGTGTGGACTTTGATATTTTCTTAAATCGTTGAGTGAACGTTTAAATTCAAGGAAGTTCGAAGAGCAAAAGCATGCAAACCCGAATTTGGTGAACGAAAATCAATTTATAAGTAATTTATTGTATATTAAACATAGTCAGTTTAAACTTAAGACATAACGCTGGGTGGATGCAAAGAGTATTTTTTATCAATTACGAAAGGTTTCTTTGGATCTAATCAGCATACAATGCACTGCCATATTTATTTAAAGCATATTTAAAAAGCAACCAAGGCTGAACAACAAAAAGCAAACGTTGGTAAATATTTAACACACACGATACCTGTCCTGCAGTTCTTAAAGGCTTCTGTTACTTTCACTTTTGAGCGCCGTTTCCTTCCATCAGCCTTTTTATGGAAGAAAAAAAAAACATCCGTTCAACCTGAAGGAGGCGCTGATACTCGATTCATGTTATTGTTTGGTTGAGCAGCTAAAATATGCCTAGTATATTAAACTGTGCATCAGGGTTAATCTTGTGCAGCAGTTTTTTAACCTTTCAGGACTTGATGGTGTGACTGTAAAGCCAGTATTTGGAATTACTGAAGCTACTCATCAATAATAAATATTTCCTTTATTGTTTCCCACAAAGCAATGGATATAATAATTCCTCCTCATTTAAGGTTTTAGATCATGGAATGACTCCCAGAAGAAAACATATGCCCTGGATTAATCAGATGTATCACGACTGTGCTCCGACTACAGGTGCTCGTCACCATCGGATGGTCATCGGTTTCCATTTTTGGAAATATAGAGCTTAATCAAAGCTGTATTCTGGCAGTACACACACACACACAAATACAAAATGTTACATTTTGACAACAGATTTTGATATAAATTAAATTTGAATGAAAAAAAATTATAAAAAATTAGGCTGCACTAAATAATAATGCATCCATTATTGTAAGAAAGTGGCATCAGAAAATATGTTCAGTGGCCGGAAATGGTAATAACACGACATATATTCTTTGTTACACAGCTTTTTGTTATGATTTTTATTTTTACTTTCATAATTCACTACAGCATTTCCTTTCTCCACTTATTTAATCCTTCACTATGTATTTTGTTTGGTTTATATTTCTGTAATAAGGATGGATATGATATTTGTGGATATGAAATAAATAAAAGTCAATCATAAATTTAACCAAGCATATGTCAAACAATCTTATGTATCTGATGATTTATCCAAAATAATGCCAAGGAAACAGATTTCAAGGAGTTTCATTCTTAAAGGTGCTGTATGTAACTTTTCCACTCTAATAAAGCATAAAAATACCATAATATGTTTGCATACACAGCAAAATCCCCAGTGTTAAATTAACACTGCTCAGTGTTTATATGAGTCCACACTCTCAGAGTGTTAAAGTTAATGAGATAATTAAGTGATTAATTGAGTGATGATTGAGCATTATTAAAGACACCTGATGTTAACAAGCAGAATCACTGAAGGAGAAAACTGTAATTGGTATGTTACCATTATGGAGATCGGTGTTTGCTTTAGTTGGGCTGTTGACCCTTAAGTCATTGACTTTAGAAATTGTTTGGCTGCTGTAGTTCAGTTGTAACAGCCAGATGAACAAAGAGACACGGTGTTCTGGTGATGTTGATTGTGTTTTAAAATAATCATTATTTCACAATCATTTGACCTGAATCACTGAACTCATATAGAGCGCAATTTCTGAGTTTGATTTACTTTATTAGTTATAGCAGCGCTGTCCTTGAAAGGCATACTATTTTTAACTTTTACAATGTAATCCAAATAATTTCTTTAAAGTTGTTCACATCCAAAAATCACTTTTTTTCTTGTAAACACAGACATCAATAATAAGCCTGTGAATCTCAACAATGGTGACAATTATAAAGCATGTTGCAGTGCATTCTGGGTTCCTCCAATCAAAACTCATTGTATGGCTCCCATCATGCATTGCTGCATTAATAAATAATGAGCTTATGTTCAGAGTTGATCTGTTTGTCACCATTGTTGAGATTCATACACTAATTCTTGATGTCTGTGTGTGCCAACATAAAATATTTTTCAAAAAGGTTTTTTTTTTTTTTGGTAATTGATTTGATCCTTTGGATTTCATTGAAAAGGCTAAAAATGTTATACTACAAGCTGCTATAATCCATAAGGTAAACTTAACTCGGAAATTATGCTCTCAATGAGTTCAGTGATTCAGGCCAACTAATGATTATGTTAAAACACAACCAACACCATCATATCACCTTTTCTCTTTGTTCTTCTGGCTGTTATAACTGAATTACAGCAGCCAAACACAATCTAAAGTTAATAAAGTAAGAGTCAAGAACCCAACTAAACTAAACATTGATCACCATAATGGTAACATACCAATTACAGTTTTCTCCCTCAGTGATTCTGCTTGTTAACATCAGGTATCTTCAAAAATGCTCAATCATCACTCAATTAATCACTTAATTATCTCATTAACTTTAACACTGCTTCAGTGTTACTATAACACTCCGAGAGTGTGGACTCATATAAACACTGAGCAGTGTTAATTTAACACTGGGGATTTTGCTGTGTATATTGAGGAAACATGCTAAGATCACATACTCGTTTCTCTGAAAAACACTTCTACAGCCAGTTATTATACGTGTGTATTGTATGTGTGTTTCCAGGCTGGAATGTTTGTTATTGTTTTGGTCTGAGATACTGTATGTTAACAATTTGCCAATTTTCATTGTCCATCACACGCGTTCCTGTTGAGTGTGCTCAAACTGGCAGTCCGTGTGAGCGTCGTCGAGTCTGAGGAGCAGGAGGCGGGAGAAACCACGATCTTCCATATTATGAATTGGACTGCAGTACCTATTTCCACCACTAGCTGTCATTCTTACAGACTGCACCTTTAAGTTTGGCGTGATTCAGGTTTGACTGTCCATGAATGTCCACAGTGTTTTATGGTCTAACGGCGGCGTAGTCACTTGTGTCCTGCCCGTCAGAAGTCCTGTCTGAGTGATGAGATGAAAACTCGATGGTGGAGTAGGTGAGATTATCAGAGGGGCTGCTGGGTAATTGTGCTAAAGCATAAACAGAGGTGTCATGCTCAGCAATTACAGGAAAGACCAAACTGTAGTCAGGATGATCAAGTGTGTTACCGATCTCATCATAATCAGAGACAGTATGAGTGTCCTGACACAAGAGAGAAGTGTAAAACAAACGGTTAGATTATAACCCACAGATAAAAGATCAAACTCAACCGGATGATGAAACTCACTTCTCTATTTGGTTTCATATCTCTGTTGGGCAGATGCTCAGTCGGGCCTTGATCGACATCTCTGGGCTGCTTTCCTGTTTTATGACAACAGATGTTAATGTATTATTGTGACAGTTTTGTGACACTGAAGTTCAGTTTGACAATGAAAATAAGAGATAATATACATGATTCGTGAGGAATACGGTCACCTTCTTTCTTTTGTCTCCGTCTGAGGTACATGAACAGTGAGAATCCAAAGCCTGTCAGGATCCCTATGACCACCAACATGACGAACATGGTAAACCCTGGAAAAACAGACAACAAAACCATGTGAATGTGACTTTACATGTCCTACTTCTAAGGAAACTTGAGAAAAAAACGTCCATGGACAGGCATTCATAACTGTAAGCAACTGAACTCATCATACCTGATACTGATTGATATGGAACTGCATTATTAGATGAGGAGGGGTTCAATAACACTGAAGCTGATGTTGTTGAGGATGATGAAGGACACACAGATGTGACGGGTGTGGTAGATGCACTCTCTTCAGTCGCTGGTTTGCTGGTGTAAACTGGAGCTGTTGTGGTTGGTTTCGGTGACGTCTTCGCTGATGTGCCTGAAAATAACCATTTGGTTTAATGCATGACAGTCTGCAGTTTATGATGAGAATGCAAAACTAAGATTAAGCAAAGCTTTTTATATATTGAGCATGCATTTTCAGAATACATATACAGTTTAATTTTCACACTCTATTACTGGCAGAGGGTCATGTGATCTCTGTGCACTTTCCCCCGACACAGCTGTTAGTAACGCTTCACTGATGTCAAGGGTGTGGTGCAAGTATAGCGCTGTGTGTGTGACCAAGTGTGTTTAGCATTTTCACTAGTTAAAGACCTCATTATCTGCCATGTAAAAAGGCTGACGGCATCTTACCGTTATTAATGATCAGATGTGTCACTGAAATCCACTTGTTCTTTAGTCCCGTCTCTCCAGCTCCACACCAGTATATCCCAGAATCCTCTAGTGTCAGCTCAGTGATGGTCACAGTAAAAACTCCTGCAGATTTATCATCCCTCAGAGAGAATCTGCCGTTACTGTTTGTTTCTGAGGAAACTTTGATAGCCGACGTCTCACAGAGCGACGGGTCGCTTCCTTTGCACATGAACTTGATGTTGTTCTTCAAATCTCTGTTATAACGGCAGGAGATGTTCAGATGCTGTCCAGTCACTCCAGACACGACAGACACTAAATCAGCATAAATGAGAGATTTAAGCGTCTCCAAGTCTCTTTATGGCACAGCAGAACTGACGTCCATCCTCGAGTCTCAGATCTGTTATAGTGACAGTATGGGCTGTTTTATCAGACACTACTGTAAATAATGTCAGCTGTTCTTTCACACTGTTTATCACTGGCGGCTCCGCTTACACACACTGATAATGGAATGAATATAAAGTGAAAACTTCTTCCTACAACAGAAAGACCTGGACTTCTGAATCACTAATGTCAACTGATATCGCAAGCTGTTAAATGTAACTGATTGAAAAAAATATAGACACACACCTACATTTTGAGGTGCAAGTTATGGAAAAAAATTATAAAATATAACAACTTAAATATAAAAAAAACAACAAAAAAACAGCATGCCTTGAAAAAGGCCTGACGAAACAGTTTAAAGTCTAAGAATCTGAGTTGTGCATTTATACTTTGTGTTTTGAATGAAGGATTCCTCCATAACTGAAACAGGGTGTCATGTGACAGGAAGTGATGCGGGTCAGTGTCTGTGGTGTGAACAGTCACTCATGATCTTCTACAGAGGAAACTGTGGTTTCTGTTATCTCTCTTTACATCTTTAAACACACGATACAGTGCTCTCTCACACACACACAGACCTCTCTAATGTTATTATACTGATATATTAGTTATGATTATATGTGTTTTACACCATATGTGCACTGTCCACTTCACTCATATTGTGACTTACCAGGTTTAATTTCTAGGTTAATCTCTTTGTATTTATCAAGTTGTAGATATGTTGTCTTCACACCACACCAGTATCGGCCTTTATCTTCTGTTCTCAGATCAGTGATGGTGACGGTGAAAACTTGTGACATCGTGTCGTCAGTCAGAGAGAATCTCCAGTCTTTATCTGGAGATGCAGAATCAACAGGAATGTCTTTATTGCGTATTGGACACTTTCCTCTGCAGAGATATTTATCATGTGTTTCATATCCAGACTCATAAGGACAGCGTATTTCAACTTCTCCTCCTTCATAACCAGTGAAAGTCGAGATCTCCGTCGTCTCACACGGCAAGACTATAAACATAAGAGAGAGAAACTCAGCTCAGAGCAAACATGGACCTGATTGAGAACAGCTGCTGTTTTAGAAAGACTCAGAAACACAGAATAAACTCTTACCTGACATGATGATCAGCAGGAGAAATATGAGACGTTTATGATCACAGATCTCCATCATTTTCTGCTTTATCTGTGAACCGCTGGTGGCCGGTGTTATGAAGAGCTGCTCTCTCTCTCTCTCTCTCTCTCTCTATCTCTCTCTCTCTCTCTCTCTCTCTCTCTCTCTCTCTCTCTCTCTCTCTCTCTCTCTCTCTCTCTCTCTCTCTCTCACACACTCTATCTCTCGCCCCATCTATCTCTCTCTGTCAAACACACACACACACACACACACACACACACACACACACACACACTCTCTCGCGCTCTCGCTCCTCTCTAAGTAATGCAGTGTCTGCAGCTGCAGCTCCCTCTATTGACATCTTCATTGAATAAATTAAATCTTTCATTTGCATTTATTCATTTAGCAGACCCAAATAAATTCAGTCTTGACCTTAGAAGTGATTCAGGACCTTTAAGTAGATATATGACTGGATACAATGCACCATTCAAAAATATATGCCTACTGTGTTAACCTAAATATTTGCTGTTTTGCTATTTTGTCAGTATGATCTAATAATGACATTATTAGGTACATGCATCTGTACTGTATGTGAAATAACTGCAAAACAGATTAGTTAATTTTTATGTTCATTTTTCTCATTTTTGTCAGACAAACACCACATAAAAACATCATAATTTCTCATTTTGTCACTTACTACAATACAGGCCTACAAACATGCTCACAGTGGGGTTTAGTAGTCTCGTCTAAAACCATCATTTTCCTTCATTGAAGAATGAAATTAGAAGAGCAAACTCTGTGCAAAAGAGATTTGTGTGAACAATTTACTAGCCACAACTAGCAGGTCATCAGTAACAGCTCATCTACAATAGATGAGGATATGCTACTCAATGCCACTGAAATGCTTCACCTCCACTCAGATTTAAAAGTTGCAGTCCATTAATTTCAAGTAAACATACGTATCGCTCCACCCCAGACCTACTTTGATTGGCTCGATTGCCTTTCACATGATAGGAAATGTTCGTAGTCAGTTTATGACGAAGTATATGCTGTGCATTTTCACAATTTTCACAACCAATTTTAAGCATTTTTCAGAGCGGCTAGCAATAGCAAGCTAGCTTTGAAAGCATTAGATCCCACCCTCCCTCCAGAACGTCTCCAAAGCCACGCCTTCTTCAAAACACATGAACGTGAACAGCCAGAGCAAAGTCTGCAAAGTGTCACAAGAGACGGCGTTAAATTACCTCATGTTTCAAAGCACATTAAATTACAATAAGAATTAATGTAAACAACATACAGAGCTCTAGTTGTACCACCTGACTGCTGCAGATTAATCTGTGCATTGATAAAGTTGACAGAAATGCATAAATCTGAGTCTGAGGACGAGAACATCTCCGGGTCGCCATCTCGTCATTATGTTAATAACATGGCGTGAACACAGCATAAGCTGGTTGTTTTGGTTCAGGAGGAACTGTAAAGACGGCTGGTGTTTCGTTTGTGCTGCTCTGTGACTGACGTCTGTCTACAGTGTGATGTCTGCGCGAGGTGTGGAAACACATATGTTGACAGGCAGGTAGGACATCATATCGGACCGAATGCAATGATTGAAATAACTGTTTTTGGTCCTGAGATTTCCACAAAAAGATATATGTGCATTTTTTAAATATTAAGACCACTTCTTTTATTGATTGCTATCAGGATGTGAAGAGTGTTTCAACCAGAATAACAAATAGTGTTTATGATCAAAATTGCCAACCCTTCAAACTAAAATGTATTGGTTTATTATCCACAGCTGGAGGGTCAGGTCTTCAGGTAGAGGAATTAATTAAAGGTGACCTATAATTCAAAATTGAATTTACCTTGGTATAGTCAAATAACAAGAGTTCAGTGCATGGACATGACATAGAGTGAATCTCAAACTGGACTGTTTTCGCGTTCTCATTTAATTCACGTTTATGAAAAACACCCCTGAAAAACGGTCGGTTCTCCACACAATACCGACTGTGACGCAATAGTCGGGATCATTAATATGTACGCCTCCAAATATTTGCATAATGCCAGCCCTCAATGCCAGGCGGAACTGCGCAGCCGAAGCATGGCAGTTGCTCAGTGTGGATGTACACATGAACACAAAAGTATTTTTTAGTTCCTTCATCTGAGCCTCTGAAGAAACAATGGGTTAATTTTATTTTCTCTGGAAATTTTCAAACATTTCACCGACGACTGTTTCCTCAACTTGGGCCAATACAGAGCTGGCCTCGGATCGAGCTACCAAGCAACACTTTCTGATGTGTAATTGTTCAAGTTCAGACAGGTAATCTTTCTCTCAAAATCGTTCAATACTGTTTATGCATCAGTAAGTCAAGCCAGTGACTAAAATATCAGCTTCACATCGTTTCTTTTAGTAGGATGAAAATAATCGTATTTAAATTGTGAACAAATTATACAGAAAGCGATCAAAGAACAATCTTTCCACACAGCGCGAGTTTATCTGGACACTTGCCAAACTCGTTATGAAATCAATGACGCACGTTACTGCACAACGAAGCTCTTACTGTATTTACATCGTCGTGTTTGCATTGGTGAAAGCAGAGAGAGTGCAGAAACTGCTTTGCAATGATAAGATCTTCATTCTCGCGATCAACAGACTGTCATCTGCTCAATGCTCATCACGGCAACATTTTATGTGATGGGAATAGATCTAAATACTTTAAAAACATCTCACGATTCGTTAATTTCGATAGCTGTTATAGTAAAAACGTATAATAGCAGTAGTAAAAGTATTCGGGAGAGAGTTTCACATGTAATACGTAGCTATTTCATATGCAAGCATGTCAGCCAATCACAGCAGTGGCCGCGGTTACACTGAATCCCACAGCCAATCACAGCAGTGGCCGCGGTTACACTGAATCCCACAGCCAATCACAGCAGTGGCCGCGGTTACACTGAATCCCACAGCCAATCACAGCAGTGGCCGCGGTTACACTGAATCCCACAGCCAATCACAGCAGTGGCCGCGGTTACACTGAATCCCACAGCCAATCACAGCAGTGGCCGCGGTTACACTGAATCCCACAGCCAATCACAGCAGTGGCCGCGGTTACACTGAATCCCACAGCAGACACGCCCCTTCAAACAGAGTGTTCAAATCAGAGGCTAAAAGCAGGCTAGGAAAAATGCCATTTATTTCTAAATTATGATTATTTTTTATCTAAAAAACATACTAACATTATAAGGGTAACCCAGGAAACATTATAAAATAATTAAAAAAAACATTCTAGGGCACCTTTAAATGATTCATGAATGAAATGATTCCTTAAATATGATTACTTCATAATATGGCAAAGGAAATCAAAAAAGATGCATCAGTATCATTTTAATTTAAATTACATGGCAAAACTTCTAGTCACAGGTGTTTTTAACGTAGTCCACTGAGGCAAGTTGTAGTTGAGAAAGAACAACTACAAGTGACAAAAACATTGACTTGATATTAACGTGATACATAAACACTAGTGATGGCAATTTCAAAACAGATATTAGTATAATTAAAATTAATAATGCTAGTTAATAGTCTTATTGGCCTGTTTAGCTCAGCCATTTATAGAACTGATAAAATAACATATATACACTTGATAATCTTGCTGATTTGATAATTACATTTGAAAGATTTTACTTTCAATAAAACATTTGCAATAGATTTGTGAAAGGGTTTTTAAGCATGTTTGGCCTGTGTTTTTGTTGCATTCACACTGTTCTGACCACTAGGGGTCCCCGTGGAGACTGGTGTCGGATTGTTTCGAAGCCTGACACAATACGGCACATTTGCTTCAACTGTGTCAGTGTTTCACGAAGCCTCGAACTGCTCACGAAACACGATTGAGCCAATCAGAGTAAGAATGGGGCGGAGCAACACTTTAGCCCCGCCCACTCTGCAGACAGGCCCTTCTCATTAGTCTAGATCTGTTGGATGCATCGCGTCAAGTATGATCAGACTTTACAGTTTTATTTACGTCCCCATCTCTGATATTACTTTAGTCACCGTCACTATGGTTAGAGTAGATCTGACATATGTCTCAGTTTTCTTGTTCATACACACTGCGTTTTTCCATTCCACTGCGCTGCTTTTCCATGGTATTCAATGTAAACACACTCAAGACGGACATCTTTATTCGATAATCGAATTTGCTCGTGTCTCGCTTCATGGCACGGCTTTCGAGTTAAAAGAAGTTTAACTTATAAAAGATACGTGTCTAAAGACCCAAGGAGTGAGCATGTAGGAGTAGGAGTATATATTCCAGAGTTTATTGTTGTAATATGCAAAAGAATTAATGATGGAGTATCTGTATTTACAGCTGAAATTACTGCTATAATCCTAGGATTACAATGGATAGAAGAGGTGAGGCCGGAGAGAGTTGTATTTTGTTCAGACTCTGCTGCAGCTCTTAGTAGCTTAAACTCAAAAGAAACCTCTAGAGATGATTTATTGTTGGAAATATTTACAACATTGTTAAGAATACAAAGAGTTGGAACTGATGTACAGTTTTGTTGGGTTCCTGCTCATGCTGGTGTAGAGGGAAATGAGAAGGCAGATGAGATTGCAAAGAGAGCGTTGAATTTAAACAAGAATGAAATTATGAAAGATCCATTTGGAAAAGGTGAGGCCAAATCATTAATTAATAAGGTAGTGAGGGATTTGTGGCAGAAGAAGTGGGACTCAGATAACAGATTATAATATACAAAAATCAATCACAGTGAAAACATATAAAGGAAAGTGTAGAAAAGAGGAAGTGGCTCTTGCAAGACTAAGGCCCCGTTCACACTGCAGGCAAAAGTGGCCCAAATCTGATTTTTTTGGGGTCAAGTGACCAGGTCAGACTTCTTCAGAGGTAGTGTGAACACTCAAATCTAGCCCAGATCTGATTTTTTCAAATCAGATTTAGACCACATAGGCCTCGTTTACACTGCAGGTCTTGATGCCCAATTCTGATTTGTTGCCTATATCCGATTTTTTTGACCGTCCGTTTACACGTTCTTTAAATTGTGACCCATATCAGAGTCTTGTGTTTACACTTGACATAGATCTGAAACATCGCGCATGTTTAAAGGGGTCTTCTTGCACAGATGGACGAACGCGCAGCGAGATCTCAGGACAGGTGGGAACATACAACACGATCTCATGAAAGTGAGAGTCTATAGCACTAATTTTATTTCTCGTGCCATTTATACGGCAAAAATAGGTTTTGCTTGCATATGATACGCACTGTAAACGTGCGTGTTAAACGCCATAAAGTGCGTATCATGCACGCAAAAACTATTTTTGGCATAAATGGCACGTGAAAAAAAAAAAGGTGCAATAACGCACTTTCATGAGATCGTGGCGGGCTTTAACGAGGAGCAGTGGGTCCGAAATTTTAGGATGAGCAAGCCAACCTTTGATATGTTGTCAACGTGTGTGTCCACATTCCTCTCCTACGACGACACGTTTCGTCGGGCCATCCGTCCATCCGCAGATGCGCGTCGGGGTTTCTCTCGTCATTAAACCGTGGAGACGCAGCCTAATGCCTCGGAAAATCCGATCTGCCTGTTTACATGACAGTCGCATTGGCACATATCTGATTTATATCCGATTTATTTCCACATATGAACGAGGCCTGAAACCGATCTCAAAATATCCGAATGCATGCGTTTTTTTCCTGTTTACACTGTCCTAGAACACATCCGATCTGTGCCGCATTTGAGTAAAAAATCGGAATTGGGTCACATTTCACTGACAGTGTAAACGAGGCCTAAGACTTGGACTCACCGGATTAAAGTCAACTTTGTTTTTAATGGCAAAATGCATTTGTGATAAATGTGACAGTTGTAATGTACCAGAACATGTTGAGCATGTTATTTTGTGTTGTAATAAGTATAGTGCTGAGAGGATCATTTTACGTGAGAAAATGTACGGATTAGAACGTAGATGGAATTTGGAAGGGATTTTAGGAAGGAATGAGAAGATGAGGGAGTGTTGGGAGGCTCTCTTTTGTTTTCTAAGAAATACAGGATTAGTTAACATTATATAGGTTAGATATAGTTGAGTTAGTTTCTTTTGCATATTTGTGTGAGTATGTATACATGTATGTGTATGTATGTATATGGGTGTATATGTGTAAGTGTGTGTGTGTTTAATAATTATTAGTAGTAGTAGTATTAATATTATATATATATGTATATGTATGTTTTTTAATTATTTTAATTATTTTTTAATTATTTTATTTATTTATTTTATTATTTTTTATTTATTATTAAGACCTGAAGATGTAAAGCCCTGATATTACACACTTCTGTACAGTAGGTGGCGGTATGCACCCAAAAATGCTGGTTTGCGAATCCGCCATTAAACTGAAAGAAGAAGAAGAAGAAGAGTCTCTAGATCTTGTGTTTTTCCCCGTTCCACTGCCTGTGTGTCATGTTTTTAACAGCCAAAATGCTCATGGATTCAGATATATAACCAAGTTTCACTCAGTTTTACAAGGTCATCATAGACTAACATTTGCATTTATTTGCTGCCCCACTGAAGTCCTGTCTGAATGATCTGTGGTTTGAAATATGACGGCTGAATAGAGGGAATCAGAGGCGTTGTGTTCACCGAACACTGGAAGGCCCAAACTGAAGCCAGCACGAGTGTTTGAGCTCATGATCTCTTCATAATGACAGATAGTAAGAGTGGCCTGAAATAAGAGAAGAAAGAGATGAGCAAAGACATGGTCAACAGTGAAGATGATTACAGTCCACAAATGAACGGATACAAACAGATTGAGATCAAACTCAAACAGACACATAATGAAACTCACTTCTTCAGTAAGCAGGCTTTCAGCCGAGAAATGAACGACACCTTTCATCCACACTCCTGTTTCGGGACACCAGATTGGGACAAAAGGAAGTAAAGGCCTTTAATTTGACAGATGTGAAAGTCCAGTTATGAAAATGTTACTGTATATATAAGGTGAAAATAGGTTTTCTATAGTGTGTAAAATGATGTTTTGACAGAGAGAAAGACAGGTTTACCTTGTCTCTTTTGTCTCAACCCGAAATAAATAAACAATGAGAATCCAAACACCATCGTTATCACCACAACCGACGACATAATTTTGACTGTTGAAAAACAGATGAAAATAATCTCAAATGTCCTGTTTTTAAGGAAATCTGGAGAATCGGATTGTAAATAACAGAATATGTACCTAGTTGTAATTTTAGTGATAATGCAGAAACAGGAGTGTATGATGAAGGTGGTGAAGATGAAGATGAAGGTGGTAGTGATGCGGTTGGAGATGTGACGGGTCTGATGGATGCACTGTCTTCATTCGCTGGTTTAGTCATGTGATCTGAAGCTGTTCTGATTGGTTGACGTGACCTCTTTGATGTGTCTGAAGCACAAATGATCGTTGGGTTTAATTTATGAAACATAATCTATAGATGATGACATTAACAATCTAAATGACAGTCTATAGTTTATGCAGTTATTGCAGAATAAAAACTTTTTAAGATTGTTTGCTTGTATATATTGAGCATGCATTTCAGAATACGTCTCATATTGTGGCAGAAGATCATGTGACTGAACTTTCCCCTGACACCGCTGTTATTAACACTTCACTGATGTGTGCTGGAAATACAGCACTGTGTGTGTGACCAGCAACACTTGTTAACAGTCTTCTACACTGCAAACAACGAACAAGTCATTATTTACTTAACTTATAATTTAACAATCAGATTATGATCTTAAATATCAAAAGGCTGACGGCATCTTACCACCAGTAATGTGCAGATGTGTCACTGAAATCCACTTGTTCTTGTTCTTTACTCCTCTCTCTCCAGCTCCACACCAGTATATCCCAGAATCCTCTAGTGTCAGATCAGTGATGGTCACAGTAAAAACTCCTGCAGATTTATCATCCCTCAGAGAGAATCTGCCGTTACTGTTTGTTTCTGAGGAAACTTTGATAGCCGACGTCTCACAGAGCGACGGGTCGCTTCCTTTGCACATGAACTTGATGTTGTTCTTCAAATCTCTGTTATAACGGCAGGAGATGTTCAGATGCTGTCCAGTCACTCCAGACACGACAGACACTAAATCAGCATAAATGAGAGATTTAAGCGTCTCCAAGTCTCTTTATGGCACAGCAGAACTGACGTCCATCCTCGAGTCTCAGATCTGTTATAGTGACAGTATGAGCTGTTTTATCAGACACTACTGTAAATAATGTCAGCTGTTCTTTCACACTGTTTATCACTGGCGGCTCCGCTTACACACACTGATAAGATTCAATCTAATCTAATTTAAAGGAGCTGTATGTAAGAAATGTTTTTCAATTAATCATAAAATGGCCCTGGTGTGTCTCTAGACATTAAGAAATCATGTTCATTTCAAATACTTATATCACTGACAACAGTAGTACGGCCACGATATTGTCATTTAAAAAGTGAAGTTGCAGCCCTCAACTGATGTTGATGTTGTCATCTTGTGTTTTGGCCTGAAGCCCCACCCTCCACCTATCTACCAATCACGAAGTCAGTAGTGTTTCGGCATCCGAGTTGCCAGCTCTGCTCTAGTTGAAAGCTCCTTGTAGCAGCCTATGTTCCTGCTGGATCCTGCAGCCTATCTGGCAACCTCGAGTCAGGGGGGAGGGGGAGGGGATGCACCGCTCTACAGTAATTTGAAAGTGATTGCAGTAGCAGTTTTGGCCACAATCTTGCATACAGCTCCTTTAAATCACGTCAGCTATGTTTTGGTGTGAGCGGCTTCTCTGTTAACAAAGACTCATAATGGAATAAATATGAAATGAAAATGTATTTTCCTAAAGAAAGACCTGAACTTTTGTGTACGGATAATTTATTCTTTGTGTTTTGAATGAAGGATTCCTCCATAACTGAAACAGCGTGTCGAGTGTGAGGTGATGTGGGTCAGTGTCTGTGGTGTGAACACTCACTCATGATCTTCTACAGAGGAAACTGTGGTTTCTGTTATCTCTCTTTACATCTTTACACACACGATACAGTGCTCTCTCACACACACACACAGACCTCTCTAATGTTACTATATATTAGTTATGATTATATCTATGTGCACTGTCCACTTCACTCATACAGAATATTCTGACTTACCAGGTTTAATTTCCAGAAGAATCTCTGTATAGACATGAAATTTTCCTAGTCTTGTCCTAACAGCACACCAGTATCGGCCTTTATCTTCTGTTCTCAGATCAGTGATGGTGACGGTGAAAACTTGTGACATCGTGTCGTCCGTCAGAGAGAATCTCCTGTCTTTATCTGGAGATGCAGAATCAACAGGAATGTCTTTATTGCGTATTGGACACTTTCCTCTGCAGAGATATTTATGATGGGTTTCATATCCAGACTCATAAGGACAGCGTATTTCAACTTTTCCTCCTTCATAACCAGTGAAAGTCGAGATCTCCGTCGTCTCACACGGCAAGACTATAAACAGAGAGAAACTCAGCTCAGAGCAAACATGGACCTGATTGAGAACAGCTGCTGTTTTAGAAAGACTCAGAAACACAGAATAAACTCTTACCTGACATGATGATCAGCAGGAGAAATATGAGACGTTTATGATCACAGATCTCCATCATTTTCTGCTTTATCTGTGAACCGCTGGTGGCCTGTGTTATGAAGAGCTGCTCTCTCTCTCTCTCTCTCTCTCTCTCTCTCATCTCTCTCTCTCTCTCTCTCTCTCTCTCTCTCTCTCTCTCTCTCTCTCTCTTACTCACTCTATCTCTCTCTCTCTCTCTCTCTCTCTCTCTCTCTCTCTCTCTCTCTCTCTCTCCTCTCTCTCTCTCTCTCTCTCTCTCTCTCTCTCTCTCTCTCTTACTCACTCTATCTCTCTCTCTCTCTCTCTCTCTCTCTCTTACTCACTCTATCTCTCTCTCTCTCTCTCTCTCTCTGTCTCTTACTCACTCTCTCTCTCTCTCTCTCTCTCTCTCTCTCTCTCTCTCTCTCTCTTACTCACTCTCTCTCTCTCTCTCTCTCTCTCTCTCTCTCTCTCTCTCTTACTCACTCTCTCTCTCTTCTCTCTCTCTCTTACTCACTCTCTCTCTCTCTCTCTCTCTCTCTCTATCTCTCTCTCTCTCTCTCTCTCTCTCTCTCTCTCTCTCTCTGTGCGCATGCGTGAGCGTTTGTTGAGCGAGCGAGTGGGAAGCGTGGTGAGTGTGTGGACTTTTTTTCTCTCTTTTTTTGGCCGCTGTGTCAGAAAAGGATGAGAAATCAAAGAAAAAAGTTTCATCAGTCTCAGTTGAAAGGGTTGGTGAGGAGGAGGGTACAGTACAAACTGTTAGGAGTGAGGTGCCTACAACAGTGGTAGTTGATGACAACACTGGACAAAAACCTGTAGATGTAAATTCAACAGATTCATCAGGTGATGCTGCAGCTTTGAAGAAAAAGGGGAAGGAGCGAGTGGCAGTGGCAGGTATAGGAGAAGCCTCTGTCCCTGATGAAAGGCATCAGTTAACTGATGTTTTAGATATGCAGGGTTCGGTAATTAATCAAGACATGGAGGTGGAAGGCGAGGATCTTTACTCTGAGAAGGAACAAGATGATTGTGTTTTCAAAACACCACAAAAGAGGAGAATGAAACAGAGCCACTGTAATAATTCAAAAAAACTGGGAAATAGCCAAACTGATACTGAAAGTGACACTGACATTTCAGAATGTAGTGTTACTTTTGATCAGACAAAAGATGAGTGTTCAGAACAGTCCTACATTGTGGATGATGTTAAGCTCTTTTTGAGAGTAACAAAGAATGCAAGAAATGTACGTATTTCAGAGTACTTTCCTGATCTGGAGCAATTTGTAGAAAAAGCAAAGAGTTTTAGGAGTGAAGGTCTTTTTTCTGATCAAGAGGTTTACAGACTGAAAAAAATTCTCACAAAAGTAAATTTTCAATTAGGAATTAATTCTGAATAGTTCTAAAATCACACTTATGAGATGAGGCTTGTTTGTGTCTTGATTATCCTTTTCTTTTCTTTAATGAAAGAGTTTCATTTTGCTTCCCTTAATTTAAATGGGGCACGAGAAGGGAAGAAAAGGTTTGAATTATACGAGTTAATGAAGATAAAGAAAATAGACATTCTGTTTGCACAAGAAACTCATAGTGATGTTTCCAATGAAGAAGATTGGGCAAGAGAATTTGATGGGTTAATTATTTGTAGTCATAATTCATCTCTAAGTGGCGGGGTTGCTATTTTATTTTCTAAAAACTCCATTCCAATTTCTTATGAAGTAGAAGAAGTTGTAAAAGGCAGATTTTTAAAAATAAGGGCTCAATTTGACAATGCTTTTTATTGCTTCGGTTGTATCTATGCTCCCACCAATGCAGTTGAAAGAATGGGCTTTCTGAATACATTATGTAAAGCATTAAGTGATTGTAATACTGAGGATTTGATATTAATTGGAGGAGATTTTAATTGCACTGAATTTGCCTCAGATAGAAATCATGTTGAGCCTCATATGGCTTCTCGAAAAAGGCTAATTCAGCTTATAGAAACGCATGATCTTGTTGACGTTTGGCGGAATTTTCACAAGGCACAAAGACAATATACATGGGTTCATTCTTGTAATAATAGGCTGTCTTTAGCAAGATTGGACAGATTTTATGGTTTTGGTCATCAACTCAATCTTTTTAGAGATTGTTCTATCATTCCAGTTAGTTTTTCGGATCACAGTTTAGTACGGTGTTTTTTAACTTTACGATCCATAAAACCAAAGAGTGCAATGTGGCACTTTAATAATAGTCTTTTAATTGATATGCAATTTAGAGATATCTTTAAGTTTTTTTGGAATGATTTTAGAACCACTAAATCTGATTTCCATTCTTTGCAGCAGTGGTGGGATTTTGGAAAAACGCAAATCAAGCAATTGAGTCAACAGTATGCTTGCAACATCACTAAAGAAATAAATATTTCAATGGTAAATCTAGAAAATGATATAAAAAAAAAACTACAAGAATCTATTGGAATTGAACAAAATCAAGAGCTTATTGAAATTTTAAATCGAAAAAGCAAAGAATTGGCAGGAATTCTAGACCTGAAAGCACAAGGGGCTCTGATCAGATCCCGGTTTAAGAATATAGAGTGGATGGATGTATCTTCCAAATTTTTTTTTAATCTGGAAAGAAAAAATGGCCAAAAAAGATGTATACATGCTTTGCGTTTAAAGGATGGTGCACTCTTGTCGGATCATGCAGAAATCCGTAAGAGAGCGGTAGAGTTTTATAAAGAACTGTACAGCAGTGAACTTATAGACTAGGTTAAGGACAAAGTTTGGAAAAGTTTTTTGCACTCAATTTAAATTAGGATATTTTACTTTATTTTTACGGTTTTTGTTTGGCAGCCGTAGCTGCCAGTGATTGACCGTTTTTTTTACGATTTTATTTTTTACAGTGTACTATATTTGAATATTCAGATGTCGCTGGGTTAAAAACTCTGAATGATGCCGGTCTAATCCACGACCTCGATACCTCAGTATGGAGGTCAGGAAAGAACGGTAAGCCCCGCTTTGGAGGTTGCGATCTAGATGGCAGAAATCGTTCATCTAATTTACTCTTTGATCGACATGACTCCTGTTCACTGGCTGGCCAGTCAATATTTAATCTAGCAACAGCGCGAGTGACAACCTCCAAAAGCTCCTCTTGTGTGTGTGTGACTGTGTGTGATGCAAAATCCTCATCTCCCAAGCTCACAACATCCAGTTCCTCGGAACTGGAGTGCTGCTGCACTTGCGCTTCAGCGCGAGCAGAAGAAACCGCAGCGCGTGCTTCTGACTCGTGAACTGAAGCGTCGGATTCAACGGTTAAGGGAAGAGATAGGGGATCACCCGTCTCTAACCCCGCCGTTAAATCCATTTGCGAACCCCAGGACGAGCGTCTTCGCTGTGCCTCAGCAGCAGCGGGACCCGAGCCCTGGGAAACGCGAGCCGAAGCACCGTCCTCGAAGAGTGCTCGGCGGGACCGGAGAGTTTTCATTGCCAGCTTCTCACAATGCTCACAGCCAACTCCCTCAAGAGCTGACTGGGCATGCTCCAATCCCAAACACATCACACAAAGCTCATGTGTATCCCCACCCGTGATGAAACGAGGACAGGGAGTGACACACTGCTTAAATTGCTGCTTTTCCATAATATATAGAGAGACAAACACACATCAAATAGACAGATACGATTTCACATAGAGCGCTTGTGAAGACACAGAAGCTAGTGTTTGTTCGGTTCAGGGGTGCTTTATAGGTTCCTGGTCAATGACGTCACCCGCCTAGGACGAGCCCGTCACGCCATTGGACTGATTTCACGAGTGCTTCATGACGCAATCACGCAGGGGCGTTCCCGCAGCGCTATACGCAGCGTTGAGTTCCCTTGAAAGGGAAAGCCATACCCTCCCATTCTCTTTTCCAATTCACTTCATTTATTGTCACTATGGGTTTCTTGAGCAAAAAATATATCTACATGTTTCATTTTCATTAATTGAAACAATTAACTCCTTTTCTTTATATCTCTTGCTCCATTGAGATTTAAAGTGGCAAACTTCAAATCAATTATAAATAAAATGTAAAAAAAACACAATCATAAATTGCAGAAAAGCAAAAAGAAACAACTATTATAAATTCTTTCTTCTCAACTACATTGGATCTGCATGCAATTTCTGTACAATCTTTTTAAATCTATGGAAATCTTGACTTGATAGTCCTCCTTCCCCTCTTTCTCTCATTAGGAAACGTGCTGACTCAATGAAAAGTGTACGATCCGGAAAAAAATCATCTATCACCACATTCTGTTTGCCTTTTGTAATGTTCAAGAAGCGTTGTACCTTTTCTAGACTGTACCCGCTAGGCTCTTGACTCTCATCCAGAGACATCATAGTTTCTGAGGGCTCTTTATCACAAGAACTGACCACAGAAGCATCAGTAGAAGAGTCATCAGAACTGTCCTCAGAACTATTACCTTCCCCATCTTTTACTGACTCTTGGCTACTCATTATTTGTTTCTATAATTTTGACCCCCCTTCACCTTGTCTTGCTTTCCTTTCTACTACTGGGATTTTAAATACCACTTCTTCCTCCTCCATCATTATTCTTTCCTCATCTATTGTATGTTCTATCACATCTTTTATCATTCCACCATCCAGTAACTTTGGATCAATCCCATTTCCCTTTTTCTTACCCTCAGTAATTTTTCCTTTTTCAGTGTTTGCACTTTCACTAGATTTTTGTGTACTTAAGGTTGTTTCTGCTTTCTTTACAGCCTGAATCACGTTTTGTTTATTTACATCACTTTGGGGAGCATTGTTTTGCTCTGGACAAAACCGAACTTGATGTCCTACCTCCCCACACCTGAAACACTTCATCGTCTCAGTTGTGGCAAAAATCACATAATCAAAACCCTCTACTTTAAACTTCAGTGCTATATTTAATTCCTCTGCATCCCCCTTCAGAATCATGAAAAGTTGATTTGCACCCCAGTGGAATCTTTTTTACTGCCGAAACTATTTGCTCCTGTGTTTTGCCAATTCACGTTCTAAAATCTCGTCACTAATAAACGGCGGTGCATTTGAAATCACAACTTTTTTTGCCGGATTAACAAGCGG